AATACCACAAATATGTGCATCTCTTCAAGTAATGTGGTCTTGAATGATGAACGGTACTGGAGATGTTTAGATATTTGATGACAGCGAATGTCAACGTGCACAGAACACTGCCCTCCAGTGTGTGTGAAAAGGAGCGCTGCTCAGTGTTACTGTTAGACGGGTCTTCTGGGGTGCAGTCGCCACGTATTGGATGGCACCCTCGTAAAAAAAATTCACGTCTGAATCAAGTCTATATTTTATAATTAATTGTAAAAGTCATTGTCTCCAAGGACGTAGTTTAGCATGCATTTCCTCCGATTGGTGACTTAATATGCTTATTATGAGTACTTGCTAATGAAACAATATTAATGTCTAAATTGGAATTTACTCCTCACTGTTAACCACTGTTTGTTCTGTGCCTGGCTTGTGTTTAGTGCTGTATATATGAGCTCTTAATTCTCTCAACTCCCAAGAGGTAGGTACCGCTAACAGCACCATTTTACAGGTGAAGAAACTGAGACACAGATGTTAAGTGCTTAACATCTTACACATCAAACCAGGACTTGCCCCCAGGTGCATTACAGGGCCAGTGCTCATACCGTGGCACTGCAAATGCCTCTCCCGAAGGCCATTTAAACTTAAAACTAAATTTCAATAATTAAAAACCAAATGCATTAATCAGGATACCCATGCAACAGAACAAACTTTGGCGAGAATGGAAGTGCATTGTAATTTCATTGTTTGTGCTCAGATGACATTTTGAATTCTCTTCTGTTTTCGGTGCATGGTTACATGTGCATCACATACTGAGAGACATCTTGTGGGCTGAGTGAGTCCATCCCGCTGTTCGACTCAGACTCAGACGGTGCTGGTGACTCCGGATGTTCTTCATGTGCACATTTCATAATGGCTGATAGAGGCTTCAAGGAGTAAAGACCCACCGGAGTCTGAATTCATTGATGCATAAGGAATGCCTTAAGAGGGCCTCTGAGTGCCTGTGTGTTTAAGAGCTGCCTGGGAGCCAGCAGCCGTGGAATTCAGGGATTGGCCCTTGCTATCCATTCATATGTAGCACCATTTCTTTTCATGAGAAAGTGTGGCCCATGGGGCAGTCGCTGCATTTCCTTTGGACTGTGGCATTCTGTCTGGTACCTCTGTGTTAACCCTGTGGGTGTCACCATTCCTTTTACCCGCAGCCTCTCGCCGGCATTCCAGGTCCACTAGCGCTCTCTCCACTGCTGACTCTGTCGGGCAGTCAGGTGAACAAGTGCTAACTGCATGCCTCGGCTTCCCCATCTCATTTACATCCGTTTCCATCAGTGTTGGTTAGCACTTGGCATGTATGCACTTCATTCCCCCTCCCCCAATGTGCTTTACTTTTTTTAAGTTGTTGAATGTTTATGGTTCTCTTAATAGGCTGTAGATGCTTTATAGCTTGCTTGACAACATTATTTCTCCAGTGTTCATATTTATGTTAAAATGAAACAAAGCAAAAAAAAAATCAGGGGCACTTTTCACCCTCTTTTTGCTCTCTCTCCCCCAGGAAAGCAACCCAAACTTTAGGTCTCAGAAGGTCCCTATGGGGAATGGAGTATAAATATTATCCAGTAGAGCCATCTCCCAATCTTTACTCCCAATAAAGTGATGATTGTTGTTAGTGTCAAGTTCTAATTTGATTAGAAAATTAGAACTTCAGTTACCAAAATATGTCATACTAAAGTAAGTCACACATAAAATTACAGGTATAAAAATAAATGAGTTGTCCTAACACTTTTATGGAAAAACAAGATCATGATTCAGATAACAATGAGGCCAGTGGTAGCTTTTGCAGCCTTTGATCCCCAAGCTTTTTCCATCTCAGCCCCTCTTTCCAAAAATTCACTGGTTAGCCATTGGGGCAAACGTAAGCATATAACAATATATCAGTTTGCCAGATTTAACTGGTATAATTTTCATATGCTAGCAACCCTGACTACAGTATTGAGTAAAGACTCAGTCTTATTAAGTCACAGGTGATAACCATGACCAATTCACTGAGTTAGGTATTTTCTCTGTTCCTCCTCTAAATGAAGCCAAGTATGCATTTTTAAAATATGTGCTCAGATTAGCACATTCCCCTGAAGGTTATGGGCCAGACTGAGGGAACAGCCATCTGTGTCCATCACTGAGAAAAGAAGCTGCTTACTAGTATCAAAGCAGCGAGAATGCAGAACAGAGTTTGCTCTGGTTGAAAGAAAAGGCTTACAGTTCTGCTTAGATCCAAACATTTCCTCTTAAGATTTGGAATTCAGTGATCTCTGATACATTTAGAATGAGCTGTGGTCACTGTGTGACAAAGCTGTGTACATTTGGGAAGCAAGAATAATTAATTGCATTATTCTTATGGTTTTAATTTTGTGTCTGAAAATCAGTATTATCCCTGGAGCAAGACTTGCTGGCATGAGATCCAATTTCTTACTTTATTTTATGTAGACTTTGTTTTAAGTTCATGCTGGTAATTTTTAAATGGCTTTTAACTGAATTACTTTCATTCTGTTATTCATAAATCCCTTACTATCTACCCTTTTTTAATGGGGGGAAAATGAACAAAGATCATTCATGAAACTGCAAATTAAATCTCATTTTATACTCATTTCATATTTATACTCATTTCATATTTCAACTGGTAATTTATATCTATATAAGTATGTAGATATAATTGTATTGTGGTTTCTCTTTAGTTTACATGGCACATTAAGTTGCCTTAAATGATGGCATTCAGTATGATCAGCAAGTACATTAAAAAAGGGGATAGTATAACATACAATTTTTGTTTCTTTATAAAAATTCATGACTGTATAACTTTTTTGATAAGCATTGTTTACATTTTTTTTTCTTTCTGTGGCGATGGAAGATGTTTTGAAACTGACATTTTAAAAGCGTTAAATAACACTTCACTTTTAAAGTTTACCAGCTTTGTAGGTGATGTTTGTTATATATCTAAAATATTATTTGTAAGATTTTATATATCACTTTATAGGAAAGATCAATTTATTTAAAACAAATACTAGTTTTCCTTTTATTGTAGATGCTTCATATGGCTAGTAACAGATTTTCCTTGTCCAGTATATGTTAATAAAAAGAAAGCATTTTTTTTACCTTAACATTTCTTCCAAAACTTTTTTTTTTTAATCTTAAGCATTTTAAATAAGAAACTAGTATGATATACCTGTGAAGAATAATTTACATGGACCTTCTATTATAGTTTAAATCTCAATATTTCTTAAGGTCAACTGTGATGTAAAGGACTTTGAAAAGCTAGTTTTCATTGTTCATGATCATTAGCAAGCTTAGAATAGTTGTTTGAACTGTAGAATTTGTTTTAAATCTTTTGGATTCTATCCATTTTGTCCACAAAAATAAAGACTATTATTTAAAAATCCTTTGAGGGACTCAGGAAAAATCTATACAATATCATATATATATATATATATATATATATATATATATATATATATTTTTTTTTTTTTTTTTTTTTTTTTTTTTTTTACAGAGAGGAAGGGAGAGGAAGAGAGTTAGAAATGTCGATGCGAGAGAAACATTGACCAGCTGCCTCTTGCACACCCCCTATTGGGGATGTGCCCGCAACCAATGTACATGCCCTTGCCCGGAATCGAACCTGGGACCTTTCAGTCCGCAGACCGATGCTCTATCCACTGAGCCAAACTGGTTTTGGCCACAATATCATCTTAATTATTAATATTTTGCAGCTAAAATGCTAGCTTTTATGGTGGTTATTAAAGAATTTTAATAAATATATTTAAATATCTTTTGATGATACAGGAATTATGATGAACATATGCCTAAAATTAATTTGAGTTTAATTAATAATAATTGAACAGCAGTGACATTGATGAAAATTTGCAGTGAGCAACTGAATACATTTGTTTTAAATTTTGACTATTGCACATTGCATTGAACTTATTTACCTGCTGCCTCGTAACCTTGAAGCGTCCTAATTGGTTTGACCAAACCTCAGGGCCTCTTGACTCTAGAGCAAGCATGTCAAACTCAAAGGCTAACATGGGCCAAATAAACAAGGTTTAAGTTTATGTGAGCCGCAAAGAAAAAAACAACACCACAAAGCTTCAATTTTCATAGAAACAAAGATTTATTTCACTAGAGACATGCTGAATACAAAGGGCTGAAATAAATGAATAATTGTTAACATAAAATAATAGATCATTTTAGTAAAAAATAATACTTTTTCTTGAATATTAACTTACCAGACACTGAATAACTGCACAAATTAATAACGGTAACACAAATCTATCTATTTTGTTCTCCGAAAGTGAAATATTTCCTGTTGTCCACACCAAACAAGTCAGTATAAGTCTAATGATGTGGCAATCAGCTTCTATAATAAAATATTCGCTGCTGGTATTAGTGGAGAGAAATGGTGTGCCCGTGCGTAAGGCATGTAGGGTGCGTAAGGGAAATGAATGCAACACGATTATGGTAATCAGCCATTAGCAAATGTTGTAGTTCATTATTAATAATTATGTATAGCAGGATATTGTAAAAGTTAAGTTACAAACTTTTTATTAAAACGTTGCTTACCAATATATTGGCTAGGCCGCAAAAATAGTCTTTGTGGGCCACATGCGGCCCGTAGGCCGCGAGTTTGACATGCTTGCTCTAGAGGGAAGGCTAAACATTAAGAAATTCAACCCATAGCTCTGCTCCCTTCTAAAATAAGTTGCTCTCTCCTATATCTCCGCACCTTTCAAGAATAAAGTATCATTAAAGAACCATTTCAGTTGTCAGGCTGCTCTGTGGCACGATGGTACTAGGTGTGAACAGTCTACCCTCTGCCACTGGCAAGCAAGTGTAGTTGAAACTGCAAGTCCAATGTAGTTAAAATCGGCCGGGCATTTCTCAGTGCCTCTATTCTGTAGATGTAAAGAGGCAGGAATCCTTGCAAAAAAATTGAGAAAATGTGAATTAAAGTGACATACCTTTTGCTTTTGTCTTTTAAACAGACCGGTTCGGGCTTGGCCAGGCAGGAAGAATACCTGGTTCTGTGAATGCCATGCGTGTGCTAAGTACAAGTACAGATCTTGAAGCTGCTGTTGCTGACGCTTTGGTAAGAGTCACAGTGCGTGTCCGTCTCTTTGACTTACTCATCCGAATTATTCTGTCTTGACAGAAAAGTGCCTCCAAATCAGGTTACTGAACCATCCTTGACACTCTTTAAGTTGGGTAAATTTATGTTCCTGGTTTTTTCTCAAACCTTTATCTCTGTACATAAGTGAGAGTTGGCCTTACAGAAATTACGAGCATCAAGTATCGAGGAAGATGTGATGACATTGGGATTCTCTAATGTCATTGGGTGTCTTTTTTCTCCTATTTTTCAGCATCTCCTTTTCCCCATTCTGTTGCTTCTATTGCTTTACAAGCTTTGATGGCATAACCTAAAAAAATCATTATGCTAGGTCATAGAATTTGTGGTTTGAAAAATCTGTGTTTATTCCATTACCTCACTAGTTGTTCCATATCATTTTGCTTTTTTGTTTGTTTGTTTTAAAAAATGAGTTTGTAAGTCATTATCTATGGAAACTTTTCCCAAATTTAAGATGAACCTGTGAGGCTATGAAACACGGGTGGAGTATTTTTTGCATCCTTATAATGTACTATCTTAAAAAGTATATAAAGTGCCGAGAGGCCTTACACTTATGGTTATAGCAAAAGGGTCCTTAATAGAATCCGCTAGTGGTCAGATTGCATTCTAAAGATAGTTTCAGCGAGCAGGAGTCCAGCCTCGAGTATTTTGGTCTGTGCGCTCAGCGCTACACTAGGCACTCTTTAGAGCTGTCTGACCCCTGGCTGTGCCTGTGCTGCTGGAAGATTCTTCTCCTCTAAGGAAGCATCCAACTTTCAGACCCTGAAGTTTAAATCAGCCATGTTTTGTGTGATGAAAACTTATGGTCTGTGGCTACAAGTGGTTCTGACTTCCTCTTTCCTCCCCCTCCCACCCCTTCTCTCTCTCTCCCCCTCCTCTCCCTCTCCCCATCTTTCTCCCCCTCCTCTCCTCCCCATCCCCCTCCCTCTTTCCCCCCCCTCCCTCTCTCGTTAATTCTTACTCAGTCAGGCTTTTTGACAAGCGCAGTGACAGGCGGTTTGCTGCTCTCAAAGCTTCCCTTTCAGCAGGGCTGCCTGGCCGCTCCCTCAGGAGCCTTCTCTGCAGCGGCCGGTCTGGCACCTGCAGGAGTGGAGGGCGATTGCTCTGACCAGGCCTTTCACTGAAGAGTCAGGAGCTGGAACAGAATTCTGTGACTCTGTTTTCCCTTTCAAGTTGCAACGTTTAGATTCTGTCTCTTTTATTCAGAGACCTAGGCAATGGAGGTCAGAGGTTGGGAAATGATAGCCGTGCCAAATCCTTAGCTAAATGGGACTTCCAGTGAAGGGGCGGGGCGGGGCGGGCGTTCCTTCGCTCTCTGAAGAACTGCGGAGGGACTGCACCAAGGTCCCCGAGGCAGAGCGAGACAGAGTCTGAACCTGGGCTCTGTTTGCCTTGGGCTTTTCTCAAGCTCTAGCTCCATTGACACCCACATTGCCCTCGTTACCTTTTGTTTGAGCTGCTTGGTTTCTCCCCTGGTCCTGCTTCAGAAGAGGAAGCGCAGAATGGCCCCCAGCTCTTGCCTCACAGGATAGAAGCCCAGGCAGACAGGATGGGCCACAGCGACAGACGCAGAATCCTGGCGGCTTTGCTTGATGTGGGAGAGCGGTAGCAGAGAATCACAGCACGCACTGGCACGTCTTGTGAGAAGTCCAGGAGGGTCGGAAATGCCATGTGAAAGCATTCTTTATTACTCACTGATCTCACTTGATATAAACCGCTCGCTACTCTGTATTTTTGGTTTGCTAAGATATGTTTTGCTGTGCACTTTTGTTGCAAGAATGATCCCCACATATGCTTCTGACATAATTCTCTATGCTTTTTCCCCATCCTTCAATATTTTCCTGCCTACAGCTGTTAGGAGACTCCAGGAGCAAGGTACCAGTGCTTTAACTTTTGTTTTACAACTCCATTTTTTCTGTTGCAAGTGTATTTCCTTTAGGAGTTAGTGAGAACGACAAAAGCGATAGTGCAATATAGAAATTCTGGTCAGAATTGTGATATTGTTGAATTGAGTGCCACTTTTATTGGGCAACTCTGTTTGTTTTAGTATTTATTTTAAATGTAAAACTGAGCCTTCTCCCAGTAGTGTTTCATTTTATCTTAAACCCCATTTTAACTACTCTTATGTTGATATTTTGTGAGTAGATAGATTCAGTATTTTTCTTATTTGAGGGATCTAGTATCTGTATAGGTGAGGCGCCATACTTTTGAGAGTGAAAGGGGTTATAATTATGCCGGGAGAGTAGGCCTAGGGCAGCACTGCCCTGAGCAGTTTGGGAGGCTCTAAAAACCACCTTATTAGGAAACTACATCTGTACAGTTTAAGCAGATAACTGTTTTTTGTATTTCATAAATTTTATCAATTTCACTTACCTGTTGCTATATTATTTATGGGTTTAATTTGTATTCAGGGTAAGAGAAATGCTAATCTACAGGAAGCCTGTTTGTGGTGTAAAACTTTGTCCTTAATAAAAGTGGCTCAGGTCATTTAGGAATCCTTGTCCATAGCTTACTCTGCCACTGTCATTTCTGTTTGAGACTTTAAGGAAGTAAAAGTCTTCAACCAAATTTACCCATAGACCATGCTCAAGATCTATTACTTTTGATTGGGAAGAGGCTGTGGGTGCACCACTTGCATTGTGTCAGGTGGCTAAGCCAGGTTATTTAACATAAAATTCCATTTATTTATTTGTTATTATTTTATGTTTTTATTTCAGAGAGAGGAAGGGAGATGGAGAGAGATAGAAACATCAATGATGAGTGAGAATCATTGAGCAGCTGCCTCCTGCACTGGGGATCTAGCCTGTAACCTGGGTATGTGCCCTCACCGGGATCGAACCTCCTGGTTCATAGGTCGATGCTCATCCTTGAGCCACTCCAGCCGGGCAGCGTGTAATTCCATGTAATCCCTAGAAGAAGCCTGTGAGGGTAATTATTATCTCAAAGGTGGGGAAACCAGAGCGGAGAGGGCCAGAGGCTTTCTGAGGTCACACAGCCCGCCAGTGATGGCAACAGGATTATAATCCAAGTCTGTCTTACTGAGAAGTCCACACAGCACACTAGAGACCGCACTCTTTCTCTCTGCTACAGGTGCTCTGCTTCCGACTTTCTGCCTCCCAGAAACTGCCTCCTGCTTTTACTCCCTGAGCCGTAGACACAGGCAGGCGGTCACCGCATCTGTGTGCGCGTCTTCTGACAGGCAGCTCTTGTTGGTGGCGGGTTTGTTTGGGAGACTCACGGTCATCTCATCTTTCCCCTCTTCTCCATCACCCCTCCCTCGTCGCCCTGGCAGAAGAAGCCCGTGAGGCGGCGATATGAGCCCTATGGGATGTATTCTGACGACGATGCCAACAGCGACGCCTCGAGTGTTTGCTCTGAGCGCTCGTATGGCTCCAGGAACGGCGGCATTCCCCATTACCTGCGGCAGACCGAGGACGTGGCGGAAGTTCTCAACCACTGCGCCAGCTCCAACTGGTCCGAGCGGAAAGAAGGGCTCCTGGGCCTGCAGAACTTACTGAAGAGCCAGAGGACACTGAGGTGAGGCCGTGCTGTCCGCATCAGGGGTGTGTGGGTGCCTGCGTCTGTGGAGCCCCTGCAGAGTCCCAGCACCAAAGCTCCGAGGTGACCAAGACCCAGTCTTTGCCTTCCAGAGACTGAAACATCTGGCACATTCTCTGTAGCTTATTAGATTTATTCCTTTATGGCTCACATTTGGCTGGTAGCTATTATTTGAGAAATCTTTGTGCGGGTGGCAATTTAGGTGAAAAACAAAACTGGAAACTCTGTCACTCATAGCTGATGGGGAAAGAAAATGCACAGCTGCTTTGGAAAAAGAAAAGAAAAAAGAAAACTGCAGGTTGGTGTGGTTCATTACACTTTAGGGTTATGGGTAAGATGACAGCAGTCTCAGTCTAAAAAATTTTTAATGCACATGCATATATGTAGCTTATAAATACTAAAGTGATACAGAATCAATTTACTAAATTAGAATACTAATAACAATATTTATAATATTTTTGCTTTTTTCTTTATATTCCTGTATTTCATAAATTTTCTAACATGAGCAGGTATTACACACATACAAAAAAATGCGTCTTTATATCATATTTTGTCAAATCTAAGGCACCATAGGCAAACCATTATTTTATAGCCCTTTAAGAAGAAATGCTGCTTATTAAACCTGATGTTAATATGTCATTGATTATAAGATGAATCTCATAATTACAGAGATGTTACAGTGTGGAAAAGTGAGCAACTTAGAATCCATGACATACAGTGCATTTTACCCTTTAGATAATGTTTTAATATGGCACCAGATACTTTCGTGGTCCTGAATGGGTTCTGCAAGTTAAGTGAGCACTGACCCGGGAATTCCTACGCGATGTGGCTACCACGTCAGCCTGACTCTACCCTGCTGCCCCCCTCCCCTGTCCTCCCAAATTCTATTTTGTTCATGAAGATGTCCTGAGAGCTTCTCCTGTCACATGCCTTCTGAAAGTCAGGTAGCTTCTGACCTCTAGTGATCTGTCAAAAAAAACAAAATGAGGATTATTGGTTGTGATGGTTGCTTCAAGAATCTGGTTAATTCTGCAGGTCTCAGTTTCTTGCATCTTAGTGTTCACCAAGGAGGCATTGAGTAAGTCTCTAGAAATCTCTTGATAAGCTTTGGTCTCATCTAGATTGTGTCGTGTATGAAGGGGATAACTTGGGCATGATTTGGGGAAAACATGTCCCTTCTAATCAAGCCTTGAAGTAAAATAGGACTTAGTAGCGTAGAGAAGGCTAAGAAAAGGCGGAAGCTCTAAAATGAAATGCAGTTGCTATGTCTTCGGCACAGTGTAGGAAGGCGGTGTCATCTCCTCATCCTCACACAGCCAGGTGCTCTTACCCCGTGTGACGGACACCGCGTGCTTTCTCTGGCAAACCTGAGATGAACACTCAGGTCTGTGTGACCCCAGAGTGCATGCTTCCCAGGTTATCCCATTGCCTCCACCGGGCAGGTGGCAAACAGACCGGGAATGAAATGAACGGGATTGATCTCACGGCTCTGTCACTTGCATTCCTGTGAATTTAGGCACTCTCTGAGATTTAGTTCTTTCACTTTCAAATAAAAACAAAACTATTACAGTTTTATATTCCTGTTTGATTTCATCATGAGTTAAATAATATAAAGTTTTTGTGTGAAAAAATGTTTTATAAAAGTTATATAAAGCTTACATAGTTGACTGAAATAAAAGGATTTTTAAACCAAAGCTGTAATTAATTTTAGTGTTGACTTATTAAAGGGAATTTATTTCTGCTTTATTATTTTTTTTAGTCGAGTAGAATTGAAAAGATTGTGTGAGATCTTCACACGAATGTTTGCTGACCCGCATAGCAAGGTAAGTCTGGGAATCCGGCCTCGCTTACCTTCCCGCATGTCTGTGTGCACTGTGTCATGTACTTGTGAAGATTGAGAGATAATTCCCTGTAGTGAAGTTAAGACCTTACAGATTAGTCCTGGTTTGTGGCTCAGCTGGCAGGAGCATCGTCCTGTACACCAAAAGGTTACAGGTTTGATTCCAGGTCAGGGCACATACCTAGGTTGCAGGTTCTATCGCCATTCCATCCATGTTTCTCTCTTTCTCCCTTTCTTTCCCCCTCTCCCTCCCTTTTTCCCTCTCCCTCTCTCTTCCTTCCACAAAACATATCCTTGGGTGAGGATTAAAAACTACACAAAAAAGACCTCACAGGTTAACACTAATTTCAGCAATGGAGACAATCAATTGTCTTTCAGCAGATATTTTTGAGTGGCTCCTATTGGCCAACAGTGGGCTAGGTGCTAGAAGGTTACATTGTATTATATAATATAGTGACTTTAAAAAATAAAAAGTTACACTAGTGAAGAAAATAATCAAGTATATAATAATTTTTTTGCATCCCAGGTAGAATATTTCGATATAAGACAAAGAGAGCAAAGTGGAAGCATTTATATATTAGATTTATTAGAGAACCAAGCTGAGTTATTAGGATTTGCCAGCCCTAGGAACTTGCTGAATGGTGGCCACTTAGCTGGTGTGTGTCTCCTCCCCTTCCTTCCGGGAGCTCAGGGGAGCACTGAGCCTGAGGCATCTGCCCAGGGAGCACTCCACAAGGAGGGACCAGCCCCTCAGGGGTGGGGCTGAGAGGGGCCCTTTATAAAGGCTTACGTGGAGGCTGGGTTTCACATAATGGGCATTGTTTGGGAGGAGGCCTGTAGAGGTGATTAGATACTTTTAGAGAAAAATAAACAAAACAGAAAAACGGATGATGCTATTGGGAAAGTTAAAGAGTGGATAAAGGACAGAAACTAAAGTATAGATATTGAGAAAACCTTAATCACCATAAGGAAATCGTAAATGCTTTACATACAGGACTTAACTATGTTATACTTCAGTTTTCCTAGTAAAACTGGTCTGTCCTAAGTTTTTCTGGAAGAATGAAGCCGTGATGGTCAGAAAGAAGCCTGTTTTCGTGATGTCTTCTTTCCCAAGCCTTTCCTCATCGTAGGAATTGCCCTTAAGCTATCACCTTTCTGTTCCATCATTCAGCATTCCTGGCGCCCACTCTGGGCAAGGGATGCAGGAAGCAGCATGTGACCTCTGTCTTTTGAGATGCTCACATGGTTTAACATCCCTGCTATGACCCTGACCCTCACAGCAAGGTTAACATTAACTATTAATAAGATCCTAGAATGGTTGAGTTTGAGGGCCACATAGTATAATTATCGAGATTTCGTCTCTAAGATAATGTTAAAAACACTAAGATTCAAATCCTAAGCATAAGATTTATAGGACTCATAGCATAAAAGATTAGATGGTTTGGGACATTGACGAAATTTCTGTTACCTGTCACCTCTAGATTGCTGATTCAGAAGCAGAATGTGAGGATAAAGAAGGAAATTTGTTTCCATCAGAAGGCTCTTGTACAGTGAGTTTGGAGGTCTCAGTCTAGTTACTGTGTGCTAGCTGCCTTTGAGCTAGCTAGGAGCCCCACAGCTGGGCTCATTGGCTGTCGCCTGAGCCACCTCACACCCTGATGGTTAATAGTTGCTGCGCTGTTCGGTATGTGACGATTGGGTTGTCCCCGAAGAGCGATGCTCATAACCAAGGAGAGGGAGACAGGTGCCACTCACCTCTCTGAAATATCGGGGATAGTCCACTGTGACTGTCTCACCTTAGACAGCAATAGTGAGTATATAGCAGCACGATAGTCATGTGAGGTTTTAAGCCATAACCTTTTATAAAGCTTTTTAAGGCTTTTGCAATATCTTTTTATAAAGATATTACTTGACAATACCTGAATTTTGGTATGCATTAAAATAGATGACTGGAATGAAAAAAATACACAAGTTTTTTCCCCCTTATCCTGTAACTCCTTTTTTTTTTTTTTCTTTTTGTATAGGTGTCACATGGTAATCTTTATTAAAAATTTTTTTCAGTTATACTTAGCATACAACATTACATTAGTTTAACTTACATAACATAGTGATTAGGCATTTATGTAATTTACCAAGTGATTACCTGAGTAAGTCTAGTACCCACCCAATACCATAGTTATTACAGTATTATTGACTATACTAGAGGCCCTGTGCACAAAATTTGTGCCGGGGAGGGGATCCCCTCAGCCCGGTCTGCACCCTCTTCAATCTGGGACCCCTTGGAACTGGGCCTAAACCAGCAGTCAGACATCCCTCTCTCAATCTCAGACTGCTGGCTCCTAACCCCTTACCTGCCTGCCTGATTGCCCCTAACTGCCTCTGCCTGCAGGACTGATTCCCCAACTGCTCCCTTGCCAGCCTGATCGCCCCTAACTGCCCTCCCCTGCCGGCCTGATCACCCCCTAACTGCCCTCCCCTGCTAGCCTGATTGCCCCTACCCACTTATGCCTTGGCCCCTGCCACCGTGGCTTTGTCTGGAAAGACGTCCAGAAAATGTCTGGTATAATTAGCATATTACCCTTTTATTAGTATAGATTCCTATGATGTGCTTTAATCTCCTTGACTGTTTTTATAGTTGTCAATTTTTACATTTTAATCCCTTCACCTTTTTCACCCATCTCCCTAATGCCCTCCCATCTGGCAACTCATTGATTTGTTCTCTGAATCTATGAGTTTGTTTCTGTTTTGTTGTTGTTGTTGTTTGTTTTTTAGATTCCACATATAAATGAAATCACATGGTATTTGTCTTTGACTTAGTTCATTCAGTGTAATACCCTCTAGAGCCATCCATGTTGTACTACCTATTCTATTGTCTGTTGATAGAGACTTACTTTGTCTCCATATCTTGGCTCTTATAAATAATGCTGCAATGAACCTAGGGATGCATATGTCTTTCCCAGTTCATGTTTTGGATGAATACCCAGAAGCAGGTTTGCTGAGTCATATGGTAGTTCTGTTTTTAATTTTTTGAGGAATCTCCATGGTGTTTTCCATAGCGGCTGTGCCAGTTTGCAATCCCAAGAATAGTGCACAAGGGTTTCCTTTTCTCCGAGTCCTCATCAAAGCTTGTTGATTTATTGATGATAGCCATTCTGACATGTGAGGTGATATCTTATTGTGGTTTTAATTTGCATTTCTCTCATAGTTCATTTTTTGTTTATAAAAATGTAATCAATTTATGAATATTAATTTTGTATCCTGCTACTTGATTGAATTCACAGTTTTATGGTGAAATCTCTGTGTATAGTATCATGTTATCTGAAAATAATTATTTTCCAATTTGGTTGCCTTATTTCTTTTCCTTGTCTGATTGTTGTGGCTAGGGCTTCCATTACTATGTTGAAGAAATCATATGATATTTGTCTTTCTGTGATTAAAAGTAAACATCCTTGCCTTGTTCCTGATTTTTTTTTCCTTAATTTTTATTGTTCATATTAATACAAATGTCCCTTCCCCCTCCTTCCCACCCCACCCTCTGCCCTTTCCCCACCCGCCATTGTCCTCATCCATAGGTGCACAGTTTATGTTCAGTCTCTTCCCACATCCCCCTCTCCCCTTTTCCCCAAGAATCATCAGTTCACTCCCCTTCCATACCTCTGATTCTATTATATTCAACAGTTAATATTGTTCATCAGATTTTTTTTTAATTTCCTTGGTTTTTAGATTCACTTGTTGATAGTTACGTATTTGTTGTTCATAATTTTTATCTTTATTTACTTTCTCTTCTGAAAGAACCCCCTTCAGCAATTCATATAATTCTGGTTTGGTGGTGATGAACTCCTTTAGCTTTTTTTTATTAGTGAAGCTCTTTATCTGACCTTCGAATCTGAGTGATAGCTTTGCTGGATAGATTATCTTTGGCTGTAGGTTCTTACTATTCATCACCTTGAATATTTCTTGCCATTCCCGTCTGGCCTGCATGGTTTCTGTTGAGAAGTCAGCTGACAATCGTATAGGTGCTCCTTTATAGGTAACTATCTGCCTAGCTCTTGCTGCTTTTAATATTCTCTCTTTGTCTTTTGCTCTTGGAATCTTAATTATGATTTGTCTTGGTGTGGTCCTCTTTGGATTCCTTTTATTTGGAGTTCTGTGTGCTTCCTGGACTTGTAAGTCCAATTCTTTCCCCAGGTGGGGGAAGTTTTCTGTCACTATTTCTTTCAATATGTTTTCGATATCTTGCTCTCTCTCATCTTCTGGGACCCCCATAATTCTGATGTTGGATCGTTTGAAGTTGTCCCAGAGGTTTCTTACATCATCTTCAATTTTCTGGATTCTCTTGCCTTCTAGCGACTGCAGAGGAGTATCTTCTGGCTCTTTATGTTCCAAATCTTTGACTTGATTCTCAATTTTCTGGATTCTCTTGCCTTCTAGCTTCTGCGGAGGAGTATCTTCTGGCTCTTTATGTTCCAAATCTTTGACTTGATTCTTGCGATCTGCTATTCTGTTTTTAGGACTCTGTATAATAGTTTTTATTTCAGACAATGTATTCTTTATTTCTTGTTGATCCCTTTTCATATCCTCATAAGTCTCATTTATTTTATCGGCCTTTTCTAGGAAACTCTTGAAAAACCTTTTAAGTGTGGTTTTGAACTCTATATCCAGTCGCTTTTTTCCTCCATTTCTTTCGTTTGTGATCTATTTGGTTTAGGCATTTTCGCAGGCAGCTTTCCTGATGGGGCGGGGTTTCAGGGTGGAGCCTACAGCTTTGGCTTCCGTCAGCCCCGCCCTATGCGGCTCCTGAGTCTCAGGGTCCTTCAGTGCTCGCTGCAAGCGCCTCTGAGAGAAAGGCGCCCTCGATCGCCTGCTGCCAAACAGTCTAGTCTCTCCCCCAATGGTCCCGAAACTGGGGTTCAGTTCAGTTGGAAGTGGAGTTGGAGGTGGCGTTCAGAGCAGTCTGGAGCCCCTGTCTCCTTCCCGCCAGGCAATCCCGGGGCACAGCCGGCCGTCCCTTCTCTGCGCGCCGCCGCCGGGACCTCCTTTCGCAGCTTCCCCGGGTTCCGCCTCGCAGCCCAGCTCCCTCTGTATGAGCCTGAGTCCCTGGGGTCTGGCCTAGGCCTGGGGTTCAGAGCAGTCGGGGCCCAGCACAGAGTTTTATCTCCTTCCCGCCGGGGAACGCCCGCCAGGCACTCCGCCGCCCTCCTCTCCGGCTCCGTTCTCTCCGCGCGCAGCATGACTCCGTACCTCAGGCTTTTCCAGCTCCTCCGCGCTTCCTTCTGGTTTTCTCCTTGCTTCTTGTTGTAGAATTTCCAGTCAGTCAACTTTCCTGTAGTTCTGGGTGATGTCCATTTTATATTTTAGTTGTATTTTGTTGAAATTGTTGTGTGCGGCGCGGCTAGGTGCCTACCCGAGCAGCCATCTTGGATTCTCTCTCCTGATTTTTTTTTTTTTAAATGCTTTTAGCTTTTCACCATTGAGTTTGATGTTAGCTGTGCGTTTGTCATTTATGGCCTTTATTATATTGAAGTTTGTTCCCTCCCTTCCCACTTTACTAAGAGTTATTATAAATGGATGTTGCATTTTGTCAAATGCCTTTTCTGCATCTATTGATATGATTTTTATTATTCATTTTATTTAGTGTGTCATGTTAATTGATTGTGAGTACTGAACCAGCCTTGCATCCTAGGAATAAATCCCACTTAATCTTTTGATTGTATTTATGAATTTGGTTTGCTTATATCTTGTTGAGAATGTTCATCAGGGAAATTGGCTTATAAAATTTTCTTTTTGTAGTGTTTTTATCTGGTTTTGTTAACATGGATATGCTAGCCTCATAAAGTGAGCTTGGGATCCTTCCATCCTCTTAAAAGTTTTTAAAATAATTTTGGAAGGATAGCTGTTAATTCACCTGCAAAGCCATCTGGTGCAGGGCTTTGTTTGTTGGGTGCCAGGGCTGACCAGCAGACCCTGAGTGTTGGATGATTACTCTGACACACGTTTCTGTGAAAGAGAGGGCTAAAGGACTGCTTGGCTTGAGAAACCAAGCAGCCTCATTGGCCTGCCTCCTAAGGCTTTTAATGTAACAACAGCTTGACCTAAAATGAACTCTTCATTAGCATTAGATTTCATTATGATAAAAAAAAATATGCTTGTTATGATTTCAGTCTTTTAAATTTTATTGATACTTGTTTTGTGGCCTAATATTTCATCTGTACTGGGAAATCATCCTTTTGTGCACTTGAATAAAATGTGTAGTCTCTTGCTTTTGGATGAAATGTCCTAAAAATATGTATTATTAGATAATCTGATGGATTGTGTTATTTAAGTCAGTCCATTGATGTCAATGGGTGTTAAAAGTCCCCTGTTGATCACTCCCGTTAGTTCTATCAATATTTGCTTTACGTCCTTAGGTGCTCAGCACCTATGTTGGGTACGTAAATGTTAAAAAGTTATATCCTCCTATTGAATTGGTTTCTTTATCATTATGAAATGTGCTTTTTTTTTTTTGTCTCTTGTTCCAACTTTTAAACTTTGTCTTTAAACTTTGCCATTTTAATTATGATATCTTCATATGGGCCTCTTTTGGCTGATCTTGTTTTAGACTTTCTGCACTTTCTGGCCTTTTATAACTACCTTATTTTTGCCAGGTGAGTGGAGTTTTCAGTCATTATTTCTTCAAATAGATTTTCCATCTCTTGCTCTCTCTCTCTCTCTTCTCCTTTTGGCACCCTCATATTGTGAATGTTGATATGCTTGATATTGTCCAAGAGGACCCTTCAACCAGCAGTCACCAACCTTTAATACCTCATGGACCACCAGTGGTCTGCGGAATACCGGTTGGCGACCAGTGCCTTCAACTATGCTATTTTATTTTATTTTATTTTATTTTATTTTATTTTATTTTATTTTATTTTATTTTATTTTATTTTATTTTATTTTATTGATATTTTACAGAGAGGAAGAGAGAAAGATAGAGAGTTAGAAATATCGATGAGAGAGAGTCAACGATCAGCTGCCTCTTGCACATCCCCCACTGGGGATGTGCTGCAAACAAGGTACATGTCCCTGACCAGAATTGACCCTGGGACCCTTCAGTCCACAAGCCAACGCTCTATCCACTGAGCCAAACCGGTTTCGGCCCAACTATGCTTATTTATTTATTTATTTATTTTGCTGTTCTAATGGGTTGTTTTCCACAACCTTTTCTTCCATGTTGCTGATTCAGTTCTCTGGTTTTTCTAATCTGCAGTTGATTCCATGTAATGTACTTTTCATTTCAATTATGGTATTCTTTATTTCTGACTTTTTTTTTAATTTTTTAATCTATTTTTTTATGTTTCCTATCTCTTTGTTGAAGTTCACACTGATATTATCTATTCTTTTTGTAAGTTCATGGAGCATCCTTATTAGCAGTGTTTTGAACTCAATCTGGTACATTGCTGGCCTTCATTTCATTTAATTATTTTTCTAGAGTTTTGTTCAGTTCTTTCATTTAGAACATGTTTCTTTGTCTTCCGATTTTGGCTGCCTCCCTCTGTGTGTTTGTATGTATTAGGTAGAGTTGTTCCATCTCCCAGTCTTGACAGAGTGGTCTTAAGTAGTAGGTGTCCTTTCAGGTCTTGTGGTGCAGACTTCCTGGTCACCTGAGGAGGGTGCTCCCTTGTGTGGGTTTTGTGTATCATTTCCTCTTGCAGTTTAGCTTTGATGATTGTTGGCACATTAGTGTATGAGATTGACCCTCAGGATAACTGGCTATGAGGACTGGCCATGACTACAGTGGATCAGCTGTTGTGCAGTGGTTGACCCCACAGAGCAGTATTTGCTTTAGCAGGATTCTGTTGCCCTCTGAGTCTTCTCTTTGTGTGTGTTGTTTATGGAGGTGGTTCAGTGGTGCTCTGATATGGTCTGAAACTGGTCACCGGGTGTGTTGGTTCTTGGGACTCTTAGGAATGCTCTGGTGCAGGCCCATGTCAACTTCTACCTATTAGGAGCTAAAAATTGACCTGTAGTTGGTAGGCTCCTGTGGTGGGGTTGGGGCTCCCTAGAAGAAGTATGGAGAATGCTGGGACCAACTGCTGCTTGTTTGGTGTTTGTGGATTTTTGAGAGACCTTAGGAAATTCCATAGTGCATGCCCATTTTAGCTGCTTGTGTGGAATAGCTGCTGAAAGGGGTTTGGGCCAGGGACATAACTTGGGTGGGGCAGTGTTTCAGGGGAGCATCAGAGTGCAGTGAAGAAGTTCAGACTTGGCACTTGACTGCATCTGCCACTTGGGTGGAGTGAGGATCAACAAAGGGACAGTGGCCCCACGTGTCAGGGGAGAGCTGTCCCAACTGCTGCTCTCACACTGCAGCTCCAAGTTAAGTGAGTCCTGTAGCACCTTCATTCTAGCAGTCTCTTGACTTTCTCAGACAAATGAGTGCTGGTGTTCACAGCCAGATGTAAGGGACTTACCCTTCAGGCTCTGGTGCCCTGGGCTGGGGAACTCGGTGTGGAGCTAAGACCTCTCGCTTCTTCGGGGGTCCTACACGGCCTCCTTATTCCTCCCAATTCTTAACCTTCACTCAGGGATGTTGGACAAGCCTGTTCTGGGTCTCTACCCCTCTATCAATCTCCTTATATTCTTCATTATAGGACTTCTGATCAGCTAGTCTTCAGATGGTTTTCAATGATGGTTGCTTTATAATTTAGTTGTAGTTTTGATGTTGCCATGGAGGAGGCAAGCACAGTATCTACCTACTCTTCTTGATGGAAAGTCTTCCTATCATAGCATTTTTTTAATGATAGAGAATGAAAAATAATAGTATAGAATTATGATGGTTTAAATATTTTTTGAAGAAAGAAAAACACCACCCTGGCCAGAATGGCTCTGTGGTTAAAGCATCAGCCAGCAGACTGAAGGGTCACGAGTTCGATTCTGTTAAAGGGCGTGTTTTTGTAGGCTTGGTCTCAGCTGGGGCATGTGCGAAAAGCAACCAATTGATGTGTGTGTCTCACACCGAGATTTCCCCTTTTCTCTGCCTCTGCCCCTCCCTTACACTTTCTCTAGGAATCAATGTAACACACGTCCTTGGGTAAGGATTAACCAAAAAAAAAGAAAGATGACTCTAGATTAACCTAATGCTTAAAGATAAATAAATCTACAAACAAATACTTTTCAGCAAAGTTATTTCTCTCTGTAACTGAATTTTAAAGGCATATTGAGGGAGGAGAGTGTGTTATCAACTTGTAGCCATTTCAGGTCTTTGAGTAAACTGCATGGAAATTGTATTAATTCACTCTGGACTAACATGGCATTTGTTTTGTTGCATGGCCTGGTTTGCGGTGGAATTCACATCAGAGAGTAAGTTCCAGTTCTTTTTCCCTAATTTTCTTTAATACATGTGTCTTCTGTGGTCTGATCAATTGTTAACAGTGTTAAGCAAGTTTGTAAGAGACTGGGCCAAGCCAGTGTGGGCATTTTTAATGGTTTGGGGACTTTGGAGGGAATTCTGAATTAAATATGTGAAATGTTCTGTTTTTATTTGTGTCTAGGTTTTCAGTATGTTTTTGGAGACTCTTGTTGATTTTATAATAATTCATAAGGATGATTTGCAAGACTGGCTTTTTGTTCTTCTCACACAATTACTTAAGAAAATGGGGGCAGATCTACTTGGATCCGTACAAGCAAAAGTTCAGAAAGCTCTAGATGTCACCAGGTAAGTGTTTAGGAAGTAGACCGTTTCCCCTGCTTTTGAGATGTAGTTGCATAGAACATTGTGTAAGTTTAAAGTGTACAGTGTGATGATTTTGTTTCATGTATATATTACCGCATAATTTTCATCTTTTTGTTGTGGTGTTGGTGAGAACATCTCAGCTCTTTTGTCTTTAGGACCTTTCAGGTGTATAATACAGTATTGTTAACTATAATTACTACACTGTACGTTAGATCCCAGAACTTGCTCATGTTATAACTGTAAATTTGTACCCTTTGACCAACATCTCATTTCCTCCTCCTCTTAACCACTGACAACCACCATTCTACGCTCTGAGTCTATGGTTCAGCTTGTTCCCTTTTAGATTCCACATATAAGCCAGAATTAGGAAACATCCCTATACATCAGCTTAGCAATGGACTTATAAAGCATTGACTACAAGGGCGAGGCTGAGCCAGGTGATATTACATGAGTGAAGTAGGTAAGAAGGGAAGATTATGGATAATTTGGAGAAATGTGGTCAGTGGTGGCCGGGTTGGAACCTGGGCCCATGTGGATTAAGAATTTTTTTTTTTTAGAAAAAGAAAAGGGATGCAGGTTCAAAACTACAAAAAATACAGGACAGACGTGAAATTTAAATGAAATGCTACAAGAAAAATCTAAAGTGCATGGCATATACTAGATCTTGTGAAAGCCAAATAAAACTTTGTGAACCAGACTTGACCTATAGGTCACTTGCTAAATTTAAGGGAATTTATGAATGTCAAGATTCATTTCAGATTTTGGGGGATGGCTGGAATATTACGATTGCATTCCCATCCTTTGATGATTAAGAAAAACAATTATTCCCTTCTGTTAACTTTTCTGGATGTCTCTTTCCTTTAAGAATTCTCTTCTCTTATTTGGTCTGTCTCTAAAGCATGTTTATCATTCCTTGTCTCAGCAGCTGAGATTGTAGCTGCTTAAGGTTATCTGGGATCAGTGTGTGTCCAGGGGCTCAGTGTTTGCTGAGAGCTCTTCCTCTGATAATAGACCTGATTGCAAGCAAGTCTGCCTCAGCTTCCTGTCCTTCGGCTGTGCCAACAACCGGTTAAACATCAGTTTATGCTGCAGAAGAAAGGAGAGACATTTTGTGTGTCGTTTGTTGACCTTGTTTCTTTAATTTATAGCCATGTGCTATGGTAGAAAAGGGTGTGCTGTTGGGTCAAACTTACTTCTTATTAATAATTATAATGCTACCAATACTAGTACCTAGTATGTGCCATGCACTGTACATTTTTTTATATTCATTTAAATGTCACATCTATCCTGTGATTTTCATGATTTTGAACCTGAATTGCCCCCCCCCCCCTTTTTTTTTTACTATACTTCTATAGATTGAGAAAAATCTCTAAGAGTCCCAAGACAGCAATGCAGTTGCTCAGCCTCAATTGTAATAGGTGTTTGCATTGCGGTATCTTTCCATTATGCATCTTCACACTGAGATTAGTAATGGCAGCATTTTAAGAGGGGGAGAGCATTGACTTTCACTAGGCAAGAGCCTTCAGTCACTCAGTTAGACCAAAGGTGTGAGATGACTAAAGGAAAGGGAGTGGTACCAGGTAAGAAAGAGCAGGAGGGGCCTGCAGGGGCCCCGGTTTCAATATGGGCTCTGTAGTTGCATGTGGGGTATTTTGCTGAGTGCTCCTCAGGCGCTGTTCTCATGATTTTGCCAAATTGAGATTATAAGCAATCACCAGAGGAGGACAGTGCAGTTAGCTTAAGTGAGGTCAGCTTTAAGCTACCTGATCAGGGAGTAAAACTAAGATTTGGAAATTGGCAGTATTTTCCGATAAGCAGTATTTAAAAAGATAGCTGGAGCCGAAACCAGTTTGGCTCAGTGGATAGAGCATTGGCCTGAGGACTGAAAGGTCCTGGGTTCGATTCCGGTCAAGGGCATGTGCCTTGGTTGCAGGCACATCCCCAGTAGGGGGTGTGCAGGAGGCAGCTGATCGATGATTCTCTCCATCGATGTTTCTAACTCTCTATCCCTCTCTCCCTCTCTGCAAGAAATCAATAAAATATATTTTAAAAATAATAATAAAAATAAAATAAATAAAATAAAAAGATAGCTGGAGAGAAGATGAGCAGACCCCTAGAAGGCAAGTACGAATCTCTTCCTTATAAGTTTACTAGAGACCCGGTGCACAAAATTTGTGTATGGGGGGGGTGTCCCCTCAGCCCAGCCTGCACCCTCTCCAATCCAGGACCTCTTGGGGGATGTCCGACTGCTGGTTTAGGCCTGATCCCAAAGGCCTAAACATCCTTCTCACAATCTGGGACCACTAGCCCCTAACTGCCTCCCCTGGCAGCCTGATCACCCCTAACCGCCTCTGTCTGCCAGCCTGGTTGCCCCTTACTCCCCCCTCCTCCTGCTGACCTAGTCACCCCTCACTACCCACCCACCCCCGCTGGCCTGGTCACCCCCAACTGCCACCCTCCCCGCCAGTCTGGCCGCCCCTAACTGTCCCTTCTGCCCACTGGGTCACCCCCACTGCCCCCCTGCCAGCTTGGTTGCTCCCAACTCCTTCCCTCCCCCCCCTCCTCTCACTGGCCTGGTCACCCCCAACTTCCCACCAGCCTAGTGGCCCCATGCAGCCTCTGTTCATCATTTGGTTATCCCTCATTAACCCCCCCTGCTGGCCTGGTTGCCCCACACAGCCTGTTCGGTCATCCATCAGATTGTTTTGGTCATGACGGCCCCTGGCTTTTTATGTATGAATTTTTAAACTAGCATACTCAAAGTAAGTTTAGTAAGGGTTTTGAGATGTTTAACAAGATTGCCTTTTTAAAAATATTTTCTGTAATGCATATTACTTTAGATTTAATATAAAATGAAAAATGTTTAAAAATGTGAACAAACTTGCATTTACATATGTTAATCTACAGTTTATTTTTTTGTTTTTATATGATTTTACATTATTTTTTGTTACAAATTTTTCTTAAAGGACAAGCACTATTTTTTTTTTTTTTAACCCAGGGACTCCTTTCCATTTGATCAACAATTTAACATTTTGATGAGATTCATTGTGGATCAAACTCAAACTCCTAACCTCAAGGTTGGTAATTATTTGTCCTTACAATTCAGCCGCTAGACGTTGAATCGGTTTCCTTATATTTGCTGGTTACGCATACACCTGCTGAGAATGTTCCTGTCCATCTCTTTGTGTACTTGCTTTCATTTCTTTTGGTTAAGTACCCCATAGAGAAATTGCTGATTTATTGGGTAGGCATATGTCTAACTTTATTTTAAATTGTTAAGATGGTTGTATTATATTCCTACCAGCAATTTTATGAGAGTTGTAGTTCCACATCCTTGTCAACGTTTGGGTGTTATTATATTATTACTCTGTCACAATATTTAAACTAGATAATTCTTATTTGTTGAGATACATGTTTCATATTGGAACTTTTAAAAATATTAGCATTCTAACATGATTAACTTGTTACATGTTGTTGTAAAATCATACCTGTAATAACAAGACTAAATTGGAGGCAAGATATATATGTGTTCATTTGAGTTAAGTCATGTACATCACCTGTTCTTTATCATTGGGGTTTAGGGTAGGCCCAATCAGTAGCAACCCTTTTCTCCTGAGGTCAGAGCCAGCTGGGACATCAGTGGAGTAGTTAGGGCGGAGTATCAGCCTGGTTACTGAACATGCTGTCTTGCAACACCCAGCCTAGGCTGTCTAAAAAGCAAAACTAGCTACCGCCTTGTACTTGCCATCCCGGCTCCTGGCAGAACTCGAAATCCCTCCCGACAAGGCCTCCGCCCTCTGCATGCCTGCAGGGAGGCGGGGAGCCGGCAGCGAGGCAGGGAGTGGGGCAGGCCTTCCCTGCGGCACACAGCTCTGGAACTGAGGAGCATTAGGCTGCGTGCACTCCCGTGCCACCCTCCCCTCAGTCACCCACGCTTCCTCACCTGATGGGTGCCGGCTCCATGTGGAACCACAAACCCCAGAAGGTGCTGTTGCCTCAGGAAGGTTTACTTTTCTCTGATGATCAGTTAGGAGTTCTACACCGACTTATAAAGTGTACTTAATGTTCGTAATGATGGTCTTTCAGGTCAAAGTGGCAATCCTGAAGTACATTGAGTCTCTCGCCAGGCAGATGGATCCAACTGACTTTATAAACTCCAGTGAGACCAGGCTTGCTGTTTCTAGAATTATAACCTGGACAACAGAACCAAAGAGTTCCGACGTGAGAAAGGTATGTCTGAGGTGCTGCAGTACAGCCTTCCTGACCGGCTGTCCTGCTATCAGAGAAAGAGCCTTATCCTGAGACGGGCAGACACCCCCAGACTCGGGCAGACTCTGCACTCCTCTGGGAAAGCCTAGGCTTGTCTCTGCCCCTTCTCTCTCCAGCTCTCCCTTGTTCCAGTTTGTGAATGCTGAAGATCTGAAATCTTGTATGAGGGGTTCATGGTTTTCTTAGGCATCTATTATCTTTTTATTGTGTAAGCAGTTTAGTGTCTCTTACAAGGAATTGGTTTCCCTTAAGTTAGTTTTATGTCATGTACTTTGAAGATAGACTTAGGTCTAAGGGTACCTGGCCATATGGGCCTAATAGGAAAGTGCGGTTGAAAGTTTGCTAAGATATACTGAATTCTTGAATTTAAAAAGAGCACAAACTTTCCTATTCTCTATCACTTTTCGAACACATAGCTCGAACTTCACACATTTATTATCTCGTAGCTTTACGGCTCAGGGTGTGTGTCCTCTGGGTCCTCTGCTTGAGTCCTTATCAGGTTGAAGTCAAGGTGTGGTCTGGGTCTGCCATCTCTTCTAGGCCACAGTCCTCTTCCAGCTCCCTGGTTCTTGGCCAGGTCCAATTCCTTCCAGATCCGGTGTAAGGCTGACGGGCCTGCTTTTTTGCTGACTGTCAACAGGGGGTGTTCTCAGCTTGTAGAGGCTATTTGCCATCTCCTGTCACCTGATTGTCTCCTCAACGTGGCAATAGGATTCTTTAAAGCCAGCAGGAGAGTTATTTGAAGAAATAATGTCCCAAATTTGATGAAAACAATCTACATAGCTAAGCAGCCCAGGAAACTCCAAGTGGGATTTAAAAAGAGCACTACACCTGGATACATCACAGTAAAACCATTGGAAGGTGAAGACAGAGAATCTTAAAGCAGCAGAGGGAAGTAGCTCAGCATCCCCCATGATCCTCAGTGTGACCCACAGCTGGTTCAGCTGCACCCGCAGAGTCCCTTCTGCTCTAACAGCTCGGGCGATGTTCCGTCTTAGTCATGAGTGCCCTTCTCTGCAGGGAGGGGACTGTGCAGGCTTGTGCAGCAGGAGACAGAACCGTGAGCCTTTCAGTGTTTTGCCTACCAAGTAGGTTGGCAGGAGTCTTTCATAGTTACCTGGTTAAATGGGGAGCTTTTTAAACTAACTGCCAGTCATGATAAGGTTCAATTTAGCAGACACGCCTTCGCTTTCTGGGAGCCGTCTGCAAAGGCTTCCATTGGGCATGTGAAGCCCATGAGGAAGCGCTACGACCCAGCTCAGCTAGGTGTTCTCTGCCCATAACTACTGTCCGCACATCAGGGCGCTGCAGAGTGAGACTTCCCAAAGTCCCTCTACATGAACGCTCTGTTTGCACGCACCATCATTCTACATTATACTAATGCTAGAGGCCCGATGCACAAAATTTGTGCAAGAGTAGGCCTTCCTTCCCCCGGCTGCCAATACCGGCTTCCTTCCGGCCCCAGGACCTGGGCTTCCATCCAGCTGCCAGCAGGCACCCAGGACCCGGGCTTCCCTCGTAGCTCTGGCTTTGTCCGGAAGGACATCTGGTCTAATTAGCAAATTATGCTTTTATTATTATAGATTATTATAGATACTGTTGTAGGTGATGCAGCTACCTTACCCAAAGCATTGGAGATGTATTTGAAAGACTGTCTACATGAATGTAGTAGCTAAATAAAAAATACTTAGAAATTGTGATTATTTCTCTACTCTAAGATCTAAAATTGTCATTATTATTTTAAAGCTATAAAATATAAAACAGGTTATTTTATTGTTGTTAATCCTCACTCAAGGATATTTTTATTTTTTTCATTGATTTTTTTTTAGAGAGAGAGTAAGGGAGGGAAGGGGAAAGGGAATAAGAGAGGAAGAAAGAAAAACATTGATGTGATAGAGACATATTGATTGGCTGCCTCCTGCCCATACCCTAACTGGGGCTGGGGATCAGACCTGCAACCAAAGTACTTGTTGCCCTTGACCCAGAATCGAACCTGAGACCCTTCGGTGCACCTGACACTCTTAACCACTGAGGAAACTGGCCTGGGTTAAAACAAGTTATTTTTATCTGGATGATTTAATACACTAAAGACACTCTTGCCTGTTTCTTTTAAATAGATGTATGTTTTGCCTCTTTCAGTTGCAGAGTTATTAAAGGGTATATCAACTGCTAGGGAAATCTTAGTGACTTAAAAGCACTTTAAGTCCTAACCGGTTTGGCTCAGTAGATAGAGCATTGGCTTGTGAACCAAAGGGTCCTAGGTTCGATTCAGGTTAAGGGTGTGTATTTTGGTTGCAGGCTTCTCCCCAGCCCAGGCCCTGGTCAAGGCATGTGCAGGAGGCAACCAGTCAATGTGTTTCTCTCACATTGATGTTTCTCTATTTCCCTCTCTCTTCCACTCTCTCTAAAATCAATGAAAAAATATCCTTGGGTGAAGATTTTTAAAATCCTATCTGATAAAAGTGTAATATGCAAATTGACTATACCTTGGCTACACCCACAAGCCATTGGGGAGTGATTATGCAAATCAACCCAACCAAAATGGCTTTGGCCATGGTGACAGCAGGAGGCTTGGGTTTCCCTGCAATGGAGGAAGCCAAATTTCCACACACCCTGGCGGCCCCAGGCCTCCACTCAAGGCTACAAAGTTTCAATTATAGAAGATAAATATATTCCAACAAAAATGGTGGCAGCCACAGAGCTGGAGCAAGCAGCCCCTGGTGGTGGAGGAAACCAAGTTTCACAGCCCTGGCCTGTCTTGGCCTCAATCAAAGCTACAAAATTTCAATTATAGAAGATAAAGAAATCCCAACAAAAAATGGCTGGGGCCACAGAGCGCCTCCCTTTGACTTCTGCCTGGGCCACTCTTGTTTCTGTAATCCTCATCTGAGGATTTCTTTCTATTGGTTTTTAGAGTGTGGAAGTGGGGGAGAGAAACATCGCTGTAAGAGACGGGTCGATTGGTTGCCTCCTGCATGCGCCCTTCCTGGGGGAGGGGATCCAACCTGCAACCCAGGGATGTGCCCTTGACCGGGAATCCAGCCTGTAACCCTTCAGTGCGCAGGCCGACACTACCCACCGAGCCATCAGGCCAGGCTGCCTCTGTCACTCTTTAGAGATTGAGCAAGTAATTTAACCTCCGAGTCCCTTTTACTTATTTGTAAAATGAGAACAGTAACACTTGCTTCAGACATTATTGGGAGGAAAGAAACAGCTGAAGGTGCTTCCTTTGCTGTTGTAGCTCTTGCTACTGCTTGAGGCTTGTTTTGGTTTTGTTGTTGCTGATAGTGGAACAGATTGAGAACCAATTTTTTTTTTTTCTGGCATTAGGAAGATTTCTCTTCAGTTAAAAGGAGTGTGGTAATGACAGTAGAATTTTGAACAATATGTTTATATCTTAGGATTCAGAATCCCTTTGCTTATCATATGTGATTCTCTAACATCTAGCATCTACTTTGTCAGAAGAAATAACAGATTAGCCCCAGATGATGTGAGAAATGTGGGAAATGAAGATGGCAAAGAAAAGAGGCTGTTCCTGGAACAGGAAAAGCATATAAATAGCCTTCAAAAGTTGAAATTTCAAAAATTGAAAAAGCATTAAATTTCTAATTATAGATAGGCAGTGGGGCCTACTGAAAGCTAAGGATCTTACCATTGACTCCTATCTCGGCCGAGCTGTGACTGTCCCTTTCCGGTCTCACCTTGACCTCTGGCTTCTGCTTCCACAAGAAGACTGCTCCTTCCAGGAAGGATCTTGGTTGTCAAGGGCCTAGCAAACCATCGATCCAGGGTTAAAACTGGGAGTTGCTACTCTCACTCTTCTTCTTAATCTCAGCGTGGGATCCTATGTGTGGGTCATGTTCTAAAAGGAGCCGCATGCTTTTCCAGCTCCGCTAACCGTGCTTTGTTTCAGCACTGCTGCTTCTCTGACGAACTCCCGCCTTTCATGTTGTAGTCCCCGCTGCAGCGTAGTCGCGTAGGTGAGGATTTCCCCACTAGGTCAGCTTCCACCTGCTCTGGGCGAGGAGAAGGAAACTTGGAAGAAACTTGTAAACAGGTAGATTTAAAACTGCACTTATTTGAAAAGATAGTTTGCTGTTTGCACTTTAGAATATTAATACTGATTACCCTTGTGGAGACACTGAGAGGATTTTGAAGAAACCTAAAATTAATATAATTCTATGTGAGTGTGTGTGAAGCTGTGTAAACGTTTGTGTTTTGCTATGTTTTTATGACTAACTCCCTGTCCAAAGAAATAGCCACATCCAGTGCAGACCTCTACCCTATTTTCATGGACCAGCAAAGGACGGCTTCTAAGTATGAAATGCCTGAAGGTTTTCAAATACCTTCTCTTTGTGATTTTCTAAAGTAATTTTAATGACAGTCTGAAGGGAATAGTAATAGTTGCTTAATCAGCAAACTCCCCTTCCTCCCCAGTTTTCCGTTTCCCCTGAAGCATTTGTCAGAGCTCCGTGACTCCCTATCCAGAGGGTTATTTTCTGCTGTGAGATGCACAGCCGATAACCTTGGGACTCTGACACAGTAGCAGTGACATTGGAAGAATCCTTCAACCTTACCCCCCACCAGATTCTGTGTAGGGGCATGAATGGGAATCATTTATTTTTACAGTTATTATTTAATCTTTAAAATAAATAAATTGTCCTAGCGTCGTTCATTAGGAAAAGTCAGCAGCCCTCTGGAGGTTTTGTGTGGCTACTTAGTGCCTTTTGCGGAAGGCACGAGTTCAAAGGTGGGACAAAACCTGCTCCTCTTGATTCCTTACTGAACATGAGCTTTTTCCAGTGGTCTCTCCAACTCATCCCATATTGGGAATTATTTCTTTACTGGGAGGATATTGATGGTAATGACAAATACAGCTGTTTTCTTCTTGGATTCTAGTATTCTAGCTTCTCACTGACACAGGGTTGTAGATAAAATATCTTAGGACCATATACTTTGATTCCTTTTGAAACTTTGATTTAAAATATTTTTTAAATAACGTATTTAAATTTCACTTTTTATCCATTTCTGGAGCTTAAATCTCATTAGAAAAATATTGCATTTTGAAAATAGCTTTAACCCAAGGCATAACTTTTGAGAACTGTATAAAATCAAATTCACTTTATATTTTGGAAAATGTAAAAATGAATTGTATTTATTTATATGTGTAAATCACACACATATACCATCTGTCTATTGAGTTATGTTTTCAAAATTCCCTGTCTTTCTATTTTATTTCTTTTTTTTTTTTAAATATATTTTATTGATTTTGTACAGAGAGGAAGGGAGAGAGATAGAGAGCTAGAAACATCGATGAGAGAGAGTCATCGATCAGCTGCCTCTTGCACACCCCCCACTGGGGATATGCCTACAGCCAAGGTACATGCCCTTGACCGGAATTGAACCTAGGTCCCTTCAGTCCCCAAGCCGACACTCTATCCATTGAGCCAAACCGGTCTCGGCTCTATTTTATTTCTTAAAGAAATTCAACTTTTGTATTATTGAGAGATAGCTCATTAGTGGGTCACAGTTAAATCTGCTGTATTTCCCCCCACATGACGGAAAAGTTACTAATGTTAAGTAGCCGTGAATCAGCATAGTTTCTAGGCCCATCATCTTGCAGCCTGCAGAGCCCTGGAAAATTCCACTCCTTTTGTAATTTACTTCATGCAAAACCTTAAGTAAGTGTGTGGCATTGGATATCATGTCACTCTGGGAAGCATATACTATTTCCATTTTATAATTTTCAAATGTCATTTTCAGTCAGCCAAAAAGTAATTGCCTAAACTTTCTTAATTGAATTTGGTCAGCATTGATTTCCTCCCCTGCTAAATTAAGTCCGCCTTTTCCTTTCTCTTTGAAGTGCAGTTTTTCTGCATGCACTTTTTCTAACATCTAATACAACGTGTTTTAAATGCACAGGTTCCTTTGCATGTTTTTTTGGAATTTGCTTTACACAAACATTGAAATCATGTTACTAGTATATTAAATGGGTGGTGGAATGGATTCCTCCAGGTAATGATTTATTAAGAATGATACACAATAATGAAATAGAGAATTGTGTATTTTAGTACAATTATAATACCACTGTCATGAAAGCACCTGGCTTGTTGTGATTTAATTGGAATGGAAAGGTTACTAACGCCTGTGTTTGGAGGTCAAGAGAGAAGTAAGATACTTTTGCCAAATGCTGTGTGTAGTGAATCCTTATAGATATGTTTGACATATTGAAAAGTAATTTTTGATTATTCTGTAAAGAACATCCTACTGATGTTTTAACATTCATAATTAATTTTTATGTTTGGTTAAACACATTTGGGTCTTTGGATTTTCTTTTCTTTCCCCAGGCATAAATTATCAATTTTGTCTTTACCAAAAATTAATTTTCACTTTGTAAAAGCATTGAAATACTTAGTGATGCTTATTTCCAAAGAATTTCTCAGCAGATTTTTTTTTGGGGGGGGTAATATTATGTGTTATGGGGATATTACTGAGATCCTAAAAATTACAGTCTTTGGAAAAATAAAATTACGTTTTTGGTCAAAAGATTTTCATAATGTGCTTTCCTTTCTTTTGACTCTTAGCAATTTGTAAGAAATGCCAGTTAGTACTTAGTAAAATGTTCTTGGCTTAGTTTTTCTAAGTCAAACCTCTGTCACCAGTCCTTAGGCGTTGTGCTAAGCTCTGAGCGCTTGGCTGCCTCTGCCTCGGCTGATTGCTTCCCCCGCCTTGCCCTGTAATGACTACAAGCAGGCCTGCAGCCCGTTTCCCATTAGTAAGCAAAGGTAGAACATTTTCTGAAAGGCAAAGTAATACATTTTTAATTTGTATCATGCGATTCGGCTTTGCTTCTCAAAGACTGTCTCTTCCCTGAATTCAGAGGTGTGAGAGTAGGAGTTTTTCAGATGCATTTAAGCTGGCTTTTTCTAGTATTTCTCAGTCACCAGGAGTGGGGTTGAGGAAGGCGGACTCTCAAGGTAACCCGGGAGCTTGTTTAGAAGCGTGTTGTATGTATTCACCACCTTCAGCCTTGGTGCTCCACGTGCAGGGAAGCTTTCGGGGTGTATTATGAATGTGCTACACAAGTCCGAGGCCAGGGCGTTAGATGCACCCAGGACTTACTTTCCAGGTTGAAGTGAGACTATTTATAGTTGGTGATACAATTTTTTCCAGGTGCATTTTATTTTTGTTTTTTATAGCAAAGATGTTCTTTTATTATTTATTTTATTCATACATAAATGTTTTCTTTTAAAAACAATTTTCATGAATATTTTGACCAAGATATGCTGTTGGACACTCCAACAATTAATCCTGTCTTCTGTTCCTAGGCCGCACAGATTGTGCTAATATCGCTGTTTGAATTGAACACTCCTGAATTTACTATGCTACTTGGTGCCTTGCCCAAAACATTCCAGGATGGTGCCACCAAACTCCTGCATAACCACCTCAAGAATTCCAGTAACACCAGTGTGGTGAGTGCTTCGGCCACGTTGGTGTTGGTGCCTTTGTGAGCTGGCCATGGCCGCTGCGTGTCCCTCGTCTACAGCTTGCTCTGACAGCCAGCTTACTTCCTCTCTCTTAATAGACTGGGTCTCTCAAGAGTGGGAGACCAGTTTTAATCCTGCCAAATTCCCAATGAGTGAATTAAGGAACCTGGCATTTAACTATGGCCATTTTCACTCTGCTCTGTTTGCTAAATGGTTAGAGTGTCAGCCTGCGGACCAAGGAGTTGGGGCTTCAATTCTGGGTCACAGGCTCGATCTCTGGCCCAATTGGGGCGCAGGCAGGAGGCAACCAATTGATTGTCTCGCTTACATCAATGTCCTCTCCTCTCTTCTCCTCCCCTCCTCTCTCCCCTCCCTCCTCTCCCCCTCCTGCTCCTTCCCCTCCTTTCTCTCTAAAAAATAAAGTAAGTGTAAAAATATCCTTGGGTGAGGATATTTTTAAAAAAATAAATGTAGCCATTTCCTTTTTCTCTCTTTTTTTGAAAGATTTTTTTTTATTGATTTTTAGAGAGGGGGAATGTAGGGAGGGAGGGATTGATAGAGAAAGAGAGACATTGATGTGAGAGCGAAACATTGATCGGCTGCCTCCTGCACACCTCCTACTGGGGATTGAGCCTGAAACCCAGACATGTGCCCTGACCGGGAACCACACTGCCCCCTTTCAGTGCCCAGGATGATGTTCGACCAGCTAAGCCACACTGGCTGGGACAGCATGGCCATTTCCTTAAGTTAGGTTATTCAATCAGTTACCTGCTTTTTTATACTGTAGAGATGTAAATGCTCTATTGTGGCTGTTACTCTAGCACAGCTGGCATCAGTTATTCAGTTTCAGGAATGCCTATATGAAAGTCATCCATTTTTTGTTTAATATGCACTTAAATTTGGCCCCAAGGATTCAGAAAAAGAATCTTCCTGATTGTACAAATTTTGCCCATGTGGGTGAAAAGGCCAAGGGAAAAGTGGGCCGTGTCCTGGATTTAGCCCTGGAGTAATGATGCTTATTCTGCCTCCACCCCAGGGCTCCCCAAGCAACACAATTGGCCGGACTCCCTCCCGACACAACAGCAGCAGGACCAGCCCCCTGACCTCACCCACCAACTGTTCCCATGGCGGCCTGTCTCCAAGGTAATGAGATTCGACAGATGTGAAGACACTGAAGTGTAGCCTATTTTTATATTTTTTACCAAGCTTAATGCCAAAAGTGTATGGGTGTCAGGAGATCATGGATCCCAGTCCTCAGCCAAATCTTAACTGAATAATCTTGGGCAACATCTACAGTGAAGCATGTGGCTTGTACTGAATGTTCTCTGAGATTCTTCTTCTCTGAGCACTGTGCCTTAAAGGTTTGGAGGCTAAGAGGTTACATTTGGCACTGCTACACATAGAAATCGTTAGAAACTCATCGCCAGGCTCTGAGGGGTGGGGCACTGGGAGAGGGTGTTTGGTCATCTCCACAAGCCCTTCAGGGCCCACCCTCACGGAGTCGAGTAGTTTTGCAGCCCAGTGCCCGTTCCGAGCACAGCTGCCGTCATTCTGGGCTCGTGTTTGCAGCAGGATGCTGCTCTGGGGGAGGGAGTGAGAACCCGAGAACTGAACTTGGAGCAGCATTTCAGACTCATCGAATGTTGGCCTTACGGAGTCCGATGCCATGGCTGAGAAGAGAAGACGCTCTGCCTCGGGACCGGTAGTGAACGCTGCTCCTCCGGCCAGGGCTCGGCAGCCCGCAGGTGGCTCTGGGGACTGGCATTGCGGGAGGCCCCGGGGCCTCACTCAGAGCAGCGACTCTAGGCTGGGCTCTGTAGGTAAGAGCCGGAGCCTGGCCTGCCAGCGCCGCACATGCTTCTAGAAGAAATCTGGGATCACTGACAGCGAGCATTAAGGGGCTGGGTCTTAAGTGTTTCTGGCATCAAGATCTTAAAATTATAAGAAAATAGTGCAAGTATGCCACTTTCCCTTTCAGGATTGCCTTTCTAGAAGGAAGAGAATCAAAACATAAGTGCCTTTAAATTTTTATTTTTAAATAATCAAGAGTCTCCCATACTCCTCTGTTCTTACCAGTGAATTTCTCTTCAGTTCCTCAGGTTATCGTATAAATATTTTGGGACATATCAAATTTGTATTTTTTATTTTATTTTATTTTATTTTTTTGGTGAAGCCAAGTGCTCTGAACGCTTATAGGCACAGTACCCTCCTGTTCATATTGCCTTAGGTTATTCATCTCAAGGCCCTCCCAGCACCATAAGTAGATTGAAGTCTGATGTTATGACTCCAAATCAGGGCTGTTGTCATGAATCAGCAGCAAGCCATTCTACTTAGACATTGAGACCAGAAACTCATGAAAATGTGTCTGACTTTCACAGGTGTGGCTCAGGCTCGGCGGCCACTTGTTTTTAATGCTAACATCTCTGTATGTGTCACAGTGTGTGATTGTCCTGAGTAGCCCCAGGTCAGTGCTAACCGCTAAGGCACAGAGTTCTCTGGTTATAAAGTGTTGCTTCTGGAAATGATACTTTGCAACATCAATGAGAAATCTGTTCTTTCATAATACACAGATCATACTTCTTATGTTTTAATTATTTCATTATCAGGGTGGCACACTCTCTGGGTAATAAGCAAAAGGTAAAACTCAAATTAAGTATTTTATTAATTGTGCTAATAGTCTAAGTAAAAGATTGTTGGGAGCTGCTAGAGTGATTTGTTAGATCTAAGAATTGTCCAAGTATTAATCTCATAGATCCCTAAATTATTAAAAATTTTATTTTTTCAGATAATCATTCCTTCTTAATTGGCTTAACTTTAATGTTTACTGCTAGGGTTACAGGTTGGTAGAAGAAATGAAGAGATTTATTTTGTATATTAAAACATCCAAGTGTGGCCTAAATAGTTTTTTGGTTAAAAAATTCTTCTTTAGGGAATTAGTTATATAGTTTTTTTTCTTTTCTTTTCTTTCTTACATATATTTTTATTGATTTCAGAGAGGAAGGGGGGGGGAGAGAAACATCAGTGATGAGGGAGAATCCTCATGCCCCACACTGGAGAGCGAGTCTGAATCCTAGGCACGTGCCCTGATTGTGCCCTCCTGGCTCACAGGGTAACACAACCCCTGAACCAGCCGGCTGGGTCTTTCCTTCTTTTTTTAAAAGTAGGTGCCCTACTCAGTGCTTAACTATCCAGATGGGCTTAGCTAAGTTTGTGTCATTTGGAGAAATGATTTTCTCAACTAAAACCGCCCCAACTAGGAAAAAACGGCCTCACAGCATCACCACTGGAAATATTCAAATAGGTGATGTGCTTTCTACCGGGAAAATTCTGAGAGGAAGGAACTCTTGTTCTCACTGGGAGAGTGGACTGGCCGCCCACTCCCGAGGGGATGGTCTGCACGGGCTCTGAAGCGTCCCCTTGGCCTGCGCGCCCTGTGACAGTGGCTTCCACGCTGAGGGGAGAAGTCACTGTGGGTGTTTTCAATCTAATGTTGACTATCAAAATGAATTATCTTTTTCTCCAAAAATTCTGCCCTTGAATCATGGTGGCAATAAGGAAGTATTCTAAAAAAATGGGGGTGGAGGAGATCTTAATTTGGTAGTTGTTTTTTTGATCACTAGTGAAATCGCTTTTATTAAGCTAACAGTATTAGATAAACCATAGCAAAGTGATTTTTGAACTTTTGTGGGACATTCGTCACTTGTTTCTGTGTGAGGGAGGAATTACTGCTTATTCCCATCTAGTGACCAGACACTCCTGGGCATTTGGAGAGGAGAGTTCTGACTGCAGTTTCCACCATCGAACACCTGGACCCAGTGTGGTTCATGGTGAATGCAAACAGTTGCAAGGACTTTAGAAATCCATTGCCTGGAAGATAAAGTGTGTGGCAGTCCTCACTCGGTGCTTGGCAGACAGGCCGTAGAGCCGAGGGCACTGCCGCGGTGACCTCTGCGCCCTGGTACTCCCAGGTCGCCCGGTGGGTTTCCATTCACCACCAGAGGGCCAACACTGTCCGCAGAATCACAGTGGGTCACGGGGAGCCCGGCCTCGGAGGAGGGAGCAGAGCTCCGGCCTGAGAGGGTTGCCCTCCCCTGACCCAGAGTGTGAACAGAGACAGTTCTTAGGCCCTTCAGTGGCACAGGGACTCGCCTCACCTCACTTGTCTTAGGAAATGAGCCATGGCTGTCCTCAGGTGGAGAGAGCTTTGTGCTCCTGCTCGCAGCACTGGGGAGCTGCGTGGGCGGTGTGTGCAGGAGGCTGTCGCCTCCCCGGCCTCCTGTCTCCTGTCCAGCCGGGCTGCCCAGTCCCTGCTTCTCTGGAATTGCAGCAGTTATAAGCAGTCCCGGCTGGCACCTGGCAAGCCCAGCCCACTCAGCGCCCGTGCGAGGGAAGAGGAGTACTTGTTCGCAGGTGACTGTAGTCTTCACACTAGGTGACGGGAGCGGAGGGCGTGGATCCGGATGCCCCTCCCTGAGCTGGCTAGCTGAGAGTTGGCACCCTACCCTTCCGGTGGTGACATTACTGTTTCGGGAGGAAATGGTCTGTGGTAGCCTCAGAATTCCCGTCTGATTAGGCCCCAGCCTCTGGCCAGAAGGGCACATTCTCTGAGTCTTTCTGCTGTAGTTCCTGGTCCCATTTGAATTAAGGCCTGTGACTCCTTCGGTTCTTTCTAAAACAATTGATTACATGATCTGAAATGGAAAACCCATGTATTTTTTAAGTGCCTGTAATGTCTTTCCCATGTAGGCATGTGTGCGCACACTTCACTCGGAATCTCCTGTGAGTTAAAAATGTAAATGCATGACCGAGGGGGAAAGGATTGCAGTCTTATCAAGGACCAAATTGTAACAACAACAAAAAAAGTGTTCTTTGTCTCTGTGTGGTGAAGTATTAACTTGGCTCCAGTGAATTTTGATAGAATTTTGTCAAGGAAAGAGCAGACTCTAAGACACTTAGAATGTAGCTTCTCCTCCTCCCTTCCCCTTCGCCTGTTTTTTTTTTTTTTTTGTTTTTTTTTTTTTTTTTTTTTTTTTTTGGGGGGGAAATAACAGGCTTTTATTTTTTTATTTTTTTTATTTTTTTTATTTTTTTTTATTATTTTTTTTTTTTTATTTATTTTTTTTTTTTAAATCAATCTTTATTGTTCATATTATTACAAAGGTTCCTCATTTCTTCCCCCCTCCACCAGGTTCCCACCCCACCCTCCGTCCCCCCACCCCCATCTCCCATTGTCCTCATCCATAGGTGCAGTTTATGTTCAGTCTCTTCTTCCCTCAATTTCCCCAATAGTAAATCCCTTTTCAGATAGTAAATCAGTTACTTAGCATTTTCTCATATCAATAATACCTCCACATGTCCAATGATACACTTCACACAAAAGACATTTCCCACTAGGTCAACCAGCCTCATCCAGGCCCCACCCAAGGCACTCACAGATCAACACCCCAGTCCTAAACTAACGCAACACATCCAGATCTAAGCCTTCACCACTTGATTCAGCAGACCCTCAAGTTCCCACAAAAGTTTCCAGCCATGTCTGAGAAGCAGCCGTGGGGCAGGGGCAGGCAAGGAGCGAGCTGTTCTGGGCCAGGCTGCTCAGGGCCTGGCCTCTGTTGCTCTGGTTCATTCCACAACCAGCTGCTCCGGGTCTGGTCACTGCCGCTCCCGACCTAGTTGCTCTGGACTTGGCTGCTGCTGCTCTGGGCCTGGCCGCTCCCAGCCTGGCAGCCGCTGCTCCGGGCCTGGCCGCACCAGCCCCGCCTGCTCCCCCGGGCCTGGCCGCTCCCAGCCTGGCAGCCGCTGCTCCGGGCCTGGCCGCACAAGCCCCGGCTGCTCCCCCGGGCCTGGCCGCTCCCAGCCTGGCAGCCGCTGCTCCGGGCCTGGCCGCACCAGCCCCGCCTGCTCCCCCGGGCCTGGCCGCTCCCAGCCTGGCAGCCGCTGCTCCGGGCCTGGCCGCACCAGCCCCGCCTGCTCCCCCGGGCCTGGCCGCTCCCAGCCTGGCAGCCGCTGCTCCGGGCCTGGCCGCACCAGCCCCGCCTGCTCCCCCGGGCCTGGCCGCTCCCAGCCTGGCAGCCGCTGCTCCGGGCCTGGCCGCACCCGACCCGCCTGCTCCCCCGGGCCTGGCCGCTCCCAGCCTGGCAGCC